AATAAAAATTCTACAACCATTTGGAAAATATTTTGAGAGTTTCTTATAAGGTGAAATATGCACTTGACATTTGAATTATTAATTCCATTCATAAGTATTTACCCATGAGAATGAATAACAAATGCTTATAAAAATCCATCAAGGTGGGGTGCCTGGGTGGCTCAGTGGGTTAAAGCCTCTGCTTTCGGCTCAGGTCATGATCCCAGGGTCCTGGATAGAGCCCTACGTCAGGCTCTCTGCTCAGCTGAGAGCCTGTTCCGCCCCCACCCCCGCCTGCTTCTCTGCCTACTTGTGATCTCTGTCTGTCAAATAAATAAATAAATAAAAATCTTAAAAAAAGAAAACATCAAGGTGATGGGAAAAGAAGATAAGATATATTCATAGAATGGAATATTACTCAGCAGTGAAACAGAACCAACTACTGATACATGCAGCAACATGCATGGATGTCAGAAATACTACAGAGGAAATGAAACAGACACTAAATATTCTATACCACATGATTTCATTGATATGAAATTCTATGATAGTCAAAACTAATTCATGATTTCATTGATATGAAATTCTAGAATAGTCAAAACTAATTCATAAGTTGTCAAAACTAATTCGGAAAGCAAATCAGTATTTGTTTGGGAAAAGGAATAAGTGGAGTTATTGATTGTAAAGAGGCACAAGGTTATTTTTGAATGAAGGAAATATTCTGTATTTTGGGTTTTGAAGAGGTTACAATGTACACATCTGCTAAAATTCATCAAATTATATACCATATTCTCTAAAAATGGATGAATTTATATATAAATTAATGCATTCAATTTTTTTACTTTCCTTGAAATGACAGATCTATATCATGGGAAATGGATAACACTTTTTCCACTGTTCTACACTTTGAAAGAAACAAAATAATGGATTGATAGCAAGATCAGAATAAAAAGTGGTAAACTTCCGGGAATGGGTAGGAGTGAAATTATTTGTATCTCAAGGAAGTGTTCACAAAAAGGCAACAACTGTGAAGAATATTCTGAATAATTTTTCTTCACTTTACTGATAGTGAAGAAGATAACACTTTCTGTGGATTCTAGCCACCCTCTTTCCCCAGCTACTCTAGCTTGTCAATGGGCTCATGAGCAAAATAATCAAGCATCAGGAATAGAGGCTATGCATGGGTTTAAAAACTTGGTCTTACCTTCAACAAGACTATTCTGGCTACCATTATTGCTAAATATCTAGCATGCTATAAGCTGAGTCTGATGCTGATTTCCTTTATGACACCATACACAAGGGGATCAACTAGCAAGGATGACTACTCTACCTCTTCATGGAAGAGGAAGCAACATGTTTCATAGGAATAAATGCAAAAGATATGGTTATGCCTTTACTATCTGCTCTTCTTTGAAGCACCACTACCCAAAGTTTAATGGAATTTCTGGTTCTCTATCCTGAATCCCACAAAACTTTGCTTTGGACCAAACAACGTGTTTGCCAGCAAAGAATGGGAAAAAGTTCAACCCCATGGAATCTATTGATCTTATCATGTACAACATCACTTCAAGTTTCTTTACCTGATATGACAGTGGAATACTCTATTAAAGACCCAGCTGGTGTACCAGCTAATAATACCTTGACCAGCTAAGTGCTGTTGTGCAAGATTTTGTGTATGTTTTGAACCAGCAACTGATATTGTGCTATTTTTCTTTTAACTAGAAGACGTCAATCAGGGAACTAAGAAGTGGGAATGGGAGTGGTTGGTTCCTCTCACTGTTATCCTTAGGGACCCAATCACAAAATCTTTTCTTTCTATTTGCCATTATTGGCTCTAGTGGACCTGACAATGATTCCTCTGAACTTGAAGTTTAAACTATCCTCTGTCACTTTGAATTCTTCACACCACTAAGTCAATAGACAAAGAAGTGTTTGCTGTACCAGCTGGAGTGATTTATCCTGATTATCAAGAATAAATAGAGTTGTTGCTATATACTGAAGGCAATAAGTATTCAAGGGATCCTTTGGGTTGCATCTTAGTACTTATAGGTCCAGTGAAAATGGTTAATAAAAGAATGGAGTAAGCCACATAAACAGGGCCACTAAGTACTCCAGTCCTTTGAAAAGGAGGTGTTGTATCCCCACATCAGGTAAAGAACCATGGCCAGCTAAGGAGCTTCCTGAAGGCAAATGGAATGGATAGTGAGAGAAGAAAATTATAAATACCAGTTATGGCTTCTTATTCACTTGCAGAAATCAGGCGTATAGAAAGTAAGCTCATTTTCTTTTCTGCTTTATGATATATACATTTGTGTATATCAACCAGTTTGTTTTCCAGGCTTCCTCTTCCTCTAATATAAAGTACAATAGTAGAGATTAACCTTACAGTCCAGAATAAAGATATAAGAGATCAAAGGAAAATTCAAACCAAGTTTGAAAAAGAATGGACATCACCCAGAGATACAGTGATTCATGGAATTGTGAGTCTACCCTTTTGATGAAAGAGTGAGTTGTATATGGCCATATGCATATGTGGCTATACAATGAAGATCTACTTCGTATCATGAGAAAACCTGAGGTCAGATGGCTGTTTATTTTTGAAGGTAGCATATGGGTAGAAGGGCATAAGTGGATACAGAGGTGACAAAGGATGAACTAAACCAGATTTATGTTTAACTTTGCATGTCTCCTGTGCCTGTTTGCTATGGACTGAACATTTGTGTCCACCCGAAATTTATATGTTGAAATCCTAATCTGCAATGTGATAGTATTTGAAATACAGTCTTTGGGAAAGAATTAGAATTATATTAGGTTATGAGAGTAGGGCCCTTGTAAAAAGAGTCAGAGACATAAGAGCTATCTCCCTGTCTCCCTGTCATGTAAGGACACAGCCCAGAGATAACCATCTGTAAACCAGGAAAAGCTCACTCACCAAACACTGGTTCTGCCAGCACCTTATTCTTGGACTTCCCAGACTCCCAAACTGTGAGAAATCAATGTTTGCCATTTGAGTCACCAAATCTACGGTATTTTTGTTATAGCAGCCCCATCTAAGACTATTTTATTTTCTAGTGTGCTTCAAAGGAGGAGAACCTGAAACTCCATTTCCCAGACCCAGGCCCCCTTTAACTGAATGGTTCCAGGTTGGCTGGCAAATGGCGAGCAAGCATTAAGAGGCAGAAAGGAGCAGGAAAGAAAGCAGCATTCTTTCCTGACAACAATTTTAAAAAAACGAGCAGACAACACGAGACATAGTGAGGACTTCCAAATCATCCACTTAGGGCAGCTCAGGTAACAGAAACATTAGGAGTCATGTTTTGGAGAGTCTTAAAATTCATAGTAACATCCAAATGAACTCTTGAGAATCCTCTCTAGGTCTACAGGTCACACAGACCAGCAGGTTGGCTTCCCTTTATGTTACTAGCCAGCCCTAACAACGGTTATGCCTGTAATTCCTGGGACAAACCCCTACCTGTTCGAATTATCTAGAGAGAATTCTAATCTTCTGGCTAAAATCTATAATACAGGAAAATACCACAACTTTGGTATGTCCAAAAAAATGACAAAGAATTATCCCTTTAGAACATAAAAACACAAAGAAATAAACAACAAAACCATCCCTCTGGTGAAGCCATAGATCAGGGTTTTTGCTAACATAATGATCTACTAAAAGGGCTACTTTTATGGGAAATAGAAGGGCTATTCTTGATTTACTATAAGGAATTATTCAAAAACATTTTATTTTGGTTATACTTCTTTTGATAGGAATTGGAGGAAAAGTAGTTCACCACAAGAGCATAAACTCAAAGTTTGAAATGAATGAATGAACCATCCCTTGGGTTCTTACTCTAAGTCAGGAAAAACTCCACAGGCAGATCTCACTTTGGTTTCAATTAATCTCATCAAACTCTTTACCAGTAAGCTCATGTTACTATATTCAGCCTACTATACCTGGTGTTATAACAATAAAATTGAAATATTTTGTAAATCATGCATCATTTTAGATTATTGAAAATATGACATTTAATATCAGAGGCACTAAATGATGAATGAGTTAGTGCTAGAGGAAAGCAAATTCCAGTTTCCTGCTCCAAGAAACATTTCATACCAGTGACTAAAATTTAGGGTTTTGTTTCAAAGTTAATCACGAAACTAATGCTGATTTAGAAGAGATCTTCATGCATGCACCAGTTGAGGAAAACACCTCCGCAAGCAACCTGAGCAAAAGCCCACTTCAAAGTAATAAAAAGTTCAAAATGTAGCTCTCTGTGTTTGTGATTTTATGTTCAGCTTAAAAAAGATCACTCTCACTTAGTACAAAATACTTGTTGTTGTCAAAAGAAACGTTATGGTCCATTAATGCTCCTGGTAAGAGCATTTAAATATTTCATTGTTACGGAGAACCCATCATTCAAATCACTGATTATTTATTCCCTTTTCATCTGTTAAAAACAAGGTTAAATTACAGAAGTTATTCATTAAAGATCTATTTAGCCTATAAGAAGTAAATGATGCTTTTCCAACTAAAAATAATCCTGGCCACTTGCTACATTTTTAGCATGCTAGCAAATGACATACTGACATGTGAAGAGCTAGACAGTTATAGTGAACCCAATGTGCTTTTGGCACAAAGTCAATGTTCTATCAGGCAACACTACTGCCTACTATATAATGTGACACCTAACTCTATCAGTAACATCATATTCAACGTCCAGATAAGTTTTACTATTGACGTTCCTCTTAGCATCAAGTGACAAGAGAATGTGTCCAGTAAAAAGTTCTGAACCTCAGACACACCAGAGGCATGACAACCTAATCTGTGTTCCACTGAACATTTTGGTCAACTGATAACAAATGTTACAAGCGACAACCAATTGTGGGAGAAGTTGATTCCAAGGCAATTGCAGAGGGCAGAATCCCTCTGATGGTTCTAGAACATGTTACAGTTCGTCTGAAACAATGCATGAACAAGTAGAAGAGCCAGAAAGTGATAGCAGAGCAGCTATTTTTGTTAGAGTGGAGCCGAGGAGAAAACTTAAGCTCGAGAATGACTGCATAAACTATGATCTACAAATGATCTTCAAAGCAGCAGCATTTTCTAAAGGATAGATATTGGTGAGAAAATTGCCTGGATATTTTCAGGTAATATTGCTTAATTTCTTGAAAATATAATATGACTTATGAGAAAATAATGCTAATCTCCATTTGCGGACACCCACCAGGTACCAGACATTGTATTATACCCTTTATTTCTTTAACATATTTAATTCTGGTAACAATGCTTCCAAATAGTCATTATTATCTTCATGTTTTAAATGAGTAAGCTGCAGGAGCTTAGCGACTGCCCAAGATCACACAGCTAGCAAGTGGAAGAGCCAACATTTGGTCCCAAATGAATATGGCTCAAAGTCTAAGCTTCTTCCCTATTCAAAAATGTGTGAATTTCATTTTTATCATTGCTTATATATATCTATAAACAAACATGTATTCACACTGTGAATACACCTATTTTTAGAATATCATTCGTAAACAATTCCTTGGGCATTTTGAAAACTCTAATAGGCACTTTAAGGGGGAAAGCTATGTAGACCATATTTCTGAAAGACTGAAAAATCATAAAATCATGAAAAAAATGGAAACTCACTTAAGAGAGAAAGGGGTTTTGGTGCAGACTAAGAATATGTAAATGATTTAATCAGTTTTCTGGGACTGATTTTCAGAGTACTGAAAACAATCTCTCTAGGAAAGGTTAAGTATTAAATATGGTTTTTATAAGATATAGAAATAGAGAAAGGAACATTCATGAGAATTATTTTTGAGGAAAAAGCATCAGCACTTAGTAAAATTTTGGATATCTCAGAGAAAATTCAAAAATTCTTTCACATTATTTGCCATAAAATAAGCAGCTTTGGGGAAGCTGCAGAAGATAGATTAGCAGGATGTAGAAACCAGCCAAAACGATGCAGAGACTGGAGGCTGATTTCCTCGAAAAAAAGCTAAAAATATACTTCTGCATCAAACAAAGAAAGTTCTGGAGATTGGCATATATGTTTTTTCTCTAGTTTGAAAATAAGAATGGAACCCTCTTCAACTTACTGAGACTGATGATTCAATCACAAAATACCTCTTCATTTGATTACTTTAGGAAGCTCTCTTCAGCTGTCCTGAGCTTTTTTTTTGTCTTTTCCCTTTTGTTTTGTTTTATTTTTTTTTTAATTTCTTTCTTTGCTTTGTTTGAGTCAACCTAGTAGGAGGTTTAGAATATCTAGGATGTGTGTCCTGGTAGCTCAAGAGAAAAATCAGCTGAATAAAAAGCATTTGTATCTTTAGGTGACATATGAGCAAACCAAGATCATTCTCTAATTAGCTTGGCAAACTTTGACAAGTCAGTAGCTTTGTTTCTGCCTCATTTTCTTCCACTATAAAATAAGGGGATAGGCTGGATGATGTTTTCAAATTTATCAACTCTAACTTCTAGAATTTTGTATACCAAGCTGACATCAAGGAGTGGAGCTTGGAACTGTCACCCTCCATGTTATATACCTTGATTACAGCTCTTGCTGCCTTATTTCTAAATAATGATATGTATTAAACTTTCATTAACAAACATTAATATTGATTTCTTAACCATTATTTTGTGATAGTTGACATAATTCTATTACCTTCAGTGCACACCATGGCAAATATCCACTAAGTGCCTTCTAAAAATAATCCTGAGTCCACACATTTTGAATACCTAGCAGAGTACCCTCCCTTCCTCCTTTTATACTCAGAAGGGATTGATTTCATTGGTCTTTTCAGTAAAAAAATACCCCATTCTTTTCAATCTTGTCCTTTCTTTCCCAACTTATTTTACATACTCTAACAAGTGACTTAACTGGGCCCCTCACACTATCTGACCAAACTCAGTGTGACTTGAATCTCTGAAAAGAAAACCTCTGCGTTTACTCTTTTGATCGTTTTAAGAGTATGTCAATCTCTGCATATCACTTTCTTGTTCTAGCAAGGGTAAGTCTGGTCACAACTGCCAGGTCCTTATCAAATTTCTCTCGCTTTTGTGATAAGCGTTTGGGATTTCAACTGACTGAGGGAGACTCCCTGAGACCGTGGCTGCAGGTGGATTCCCTGAGTTATCTTCATCGGTCCCATATCTCTCTGCATCAGTGGAGCTGGATTATAATGTTGCCTTTGTGTAACAAGGAAAACTTTTCTATTTGTCTGTCAAATGTAAATTTACTAGGTCTGGCAGCCACAATGTAGTTTTGAGGAAAGAATGCTTTGGAGTGGATCAGTTTTGAGTTCTGAAGCCACAATTCTCTTTGTTTTGTTTTGTTTTGTTTTTAAACACGTAATTTAAACCATTTTCTTAAAAATGATTATTCTGCAAGTCCAGAAGGATGAGTCTGGCAACTTTTCTTCCATTGGCGCCCATGATGATAAATGATAGCATAATTTCTATTTACCCAGCTATGAAATTTTGAAAAATAATTCAGGATTTGGGTAAATAACCCACGGAGTATCAGGGTTCAGTTTCCATCCCCCCAGTATTGTAACTAGAGCAATTTCAGCTCACCTAGGTGGTTAGATTTAATGTTTCAAGTCAGAGACAGACTGGGGCACTCAAAAAGGAGACCCTTTCCTACTTATTCTCCCTTCCTGTCACTCTCCAGTTCTCTGCAGGAGCTGACATCATTGCTGCCATTGTACTCCTAGATACTTAACCCCACTGCCTACCTGCTCTTCAGAACTGATTTTACTATTCAGCATATCACAAGCACAACATTTAGAATCCTATACCTCACCAACCACTCATAATAAGGCTGTTCTCCAATGTAAGAATTATTTTATGTATCCATTTTCTAGGGGTGCAACAAATTACCTCACATTTAGTGGTCTAAAACAACAGAACTATATTCCCTCACAGTTCTGAAGGCCACAAGTCTGAAATCAGGAGGTCAGCAGGACTACGTTCTCTCCAAAGCCTCCCGGGGAATACCCTTCACTGTCTCTTCCACCTTCTGGCGGCTCTAAACATCTTCTTGGATTGTGATGGCATCACTCCAATCTCTGCCTCCAGGCTCACATTACCTCCTCTTTTGTGTGTCTTTTAGGTGTGTCTGTATACAGTCTCCTCCTGCCTCTGTCTTGTAAAGCTATAAGGACTTTTGTGATGGTATTTTTGGACCCACTGGATAATTTAGGGAAATCTCTCCATCTCAAGATCCTTAACTTAGTAACATCCACAAAGACCCCTTTTTTCAAATAAAGTAAAGATTTATAAATTCCAGAGATTAGGATCGCTATCTTTCAGTGACCATCACTCAGCCTGCTATACTCAGCCATAGAAGGTCTGGGTCATAAGTAATTTTATTTCTTTCTATCTTTAGAAGAAACAATTTATGATTTCTCTTAATGAAGAGTTGATAGCAAACATCTCTATGAACATTTACATAGTACCAGCCTACATTGTCCTTTATCAATCCAGAGTATTTATCCCAAGAAAGGACACTGTCCCTAAACTTTTCCTACCCTAGAATGATTTCCCTACCTTCTTCATATGTCTTCCCCACATCTTATCTTCTGAAAAACAATATTTTCCTATTAATAAAAATATTTATTATGGTAAAGGCTACCTTTATCTCCTTTATCTTCCTTCTATGTTCCTTCTTCTATGTTCCTCTATGTTCCTTCCTTCGTCATGTATTTCTTGAGTCCCCATAATGCCAAGATCTGTAACAGCCACCGACATTTAATCTGAAAGTCTCTTATCCTTAATTTACTTAGGACACTTAAGGACTTTTATGAAAACATTCTCATATGCTGTTTTGCCAGCCAAGTCTTCAAAATAGATTGGTAGGTGTGTAGAAGTACAACCACTTCTCTGAGGGCAGAGGAGCACCAGACTTCCCCTGTTGGTATCCCAAGATTTCAAGTACCTTTCAAAACACTCATTATATCCCCAGAAGTCCTATCAGAGTACCATCAGTAAAGCATGAAGCTAGCCAGGGTGTCAGTGGGTAACTAAAGGTAGAATGGGATAGTTTTTACCCGAAGGAGGCCTTCACCAAAGGAAGGTGCCAATCAATCTAACCTGAGAAGGAGTTCCCATTGACAAGGTAGTTGGGCAGGAAGACAAGTGAAGGGAATCTTACTACAGAGGAGCCAAGAATTATATTGTCAGAAAATTTCCTAAGCTTAGTTTTCTAACTATAAATTAATGTATTACTTGTGGAAAATTTGCAAACTACAGAAATGAATTTTAAAAGATTTACAAAACTCATTCAGAATTCCTATCACCCAGATAAAACCATAACTAATGTTTCAGTGTATTCCCCATAAGTCCTTTTTATAAAAAATACAGGTTTATTGTAACATAGAAGATACCTTAAATATATTATTTTGTACCCTACTTTAATTTTGCTTAATGCTGCATGGAGACCATTTTCCAATTATATTAGATTTTTTTGTAAACATGATTTCAACGAATGTATATTATCTCATCGTGTAACTTTACCTAAGCATTCTTCATTGTTGGACATTTGCTTCAGATTCCATGCTGTATAATGTTGTAGCAAACATTCTAGTGCACAATGCTTTATATGGATCATTAATTATTACTATAAGTTCCTCAATGTAAAAATACCAGGTCAAGAAAATTAACACTTGTAAGACTCCTGACACATAGTAATAAAATTATATATAAATAACTTAGCATAGTTTCTGGCACATAGAAAGTACTAATTAATGCTAGCCAGTGTTTAATAATAACTTTTCATTCAAAAAGATGGTAGCAATTTATACTCCCGTTGCCATCCCCCTTTAACTACAATTTTGTTAGAAACACATCTCTGAATCTCCTTTGAAGCTGGGAGGTGGATTCTAAGTTCTGGTCACCCACCGAAACCAAATACCTACTCCCTGATTCTGTACAGGTTTCAGGTGTGACACTTGCTATATTTCAATCTCTCCAAACAACTTTCAGAAATGTTCTAATGCTCAGACAACCCTTCTCTAAACCTGATCTATTACAGCCATGCTGCACACAGTATACATTTTCTGAAATCTGGGGATAAAGCAAAAGGAAGGGATACCAGCACTGAACAGATGGCACAGATCTCTCCATCCAAATGAGAAGTGTTCTA